ATCTTTACGATTCACTTGATAATGAAATTTATATGAAAATTTCAGAAGGACTTAAAATGCCTGAAGCATATAGTTCAAAACCTCGGGAAATATGTTCAATCAGAGTACAAAAGTCATTATACGGCTTAAAACAATCAGGGCGCATGTGGTATAATCGCCTCAGTGAGTACTTGATAAAAACAAGATTATATAAATGATGGCATTTTGTCCTTTGTATTTTTTATTAAGAAAACAACATCAGGGTTTGTTATTCTTGCTGTTTATGTTGATGACATTAATATCATTGGAACTCCAGAAGAGGTCCTAAAGGGAATTGAATATCTAAAGAAAGAATTTGAGATGAAAGACAAAATTTTGTCTTGGTCTACAAATTGAACATTTAGCAGACGGGGTCTTCATCCATCAATCTGCCTACACTGAGAAAATCTTGAAACGATTTTACATGGACAAAGCACATCCATTAAGTACTCCAATGGTTGTACGATCATTTAAAGTGAATAAAGACTCATTTCGACCTCAAGAAGAGACTGAGGAACCTCTTGGTCCTGAAGTACCTTATCTTAGTGCAATTGGTGCACTTATGTATCTTGCTAATGCTACGAGACCTAGGATAGCATTTTCTATTAATATTTTAGCAAGATATAGTTCTTCCCCTACACGAAGACATAGGAATAGAGTTAAACATATATTGCGATATCTAAAGGGGACTAGTGATATGGGTCTGTTTTATACTAACAAAGATAGTACAGATCTTGTTGGTCATGCAGATGCAGGTTATTTATCTGACCAACATAAAGTTCGATCTCAAACAGGCTATTGTTCACATACGGAGGTACTGCAATATCATGGAGATCTACGAAGCAGTCCATTGTCGCTACTTCTTCAAATCATGCTGAGATAATAGCAATTCATGAAGCAAGTAGAGAGTGTGTATGGTTGAGATCAGTGATACATTTCATCAAAGAAAGATGTGGTTTGAAGTGTGATATCAAGGTACCCACGGTACTCTTTGAAGACAATGTTGCATGCATAGCTCAATTAAGAGGAGGCTTCATAAAAGGAGATAGAACAAAGCATATTTCACCGAAATTATTCTTTACACATGATCTCCAGAAGAATGGTGATATTGATGTACAACAAATCCGTTCAAGTGATAATCCAACAGACTTATTCACCAAATCTTTACCAGCCTTAACTCTTGAAAAAATGGTACACAAAATTGGAATGCGAAAACTTAACCATCTGAATCGTGGTTTTTTATCAGAGGGAATAAAATACGCATTGTACTTTTTTGCCCTTAGTCTAGGTTTTGTCCCACTGGGTTTTCCTAGAAAGGTTTTTAATGAGGCAACAAGTAATGCGTATTATGAATGTCTATGTATATTTCTTTTCTTTTACATTGACATTCAAGGGGGAGTGTTGTAAGAAAATGAAGGATGCCACTTGGAGACTACCAATTTAGTAACTTTCATCACTTATCATGGTGCAAGGCAAATATGCATGCCATGTGGAAACCATCTTTTGGGAAACTACCAACACTTGGCAATTGGTAGCCAAGTTATACATTTATACTTTAGCTTACTACTATAAATAGATACTACATTTACAAATGAATAGATATAGATTGGAAGACATTACTCTCTGTTGTTCTTCTTTTTAAGTGTGTTAATCTTAAGTTTACTGAGTAATTATTTTATAACACATTCATAGTAATATAATGTATTTACCATTTGTATCATTTCTGGCTCTCTCTCCCCTCTTTTTCTCTTTTTTCCGTTTTTCTCTTTCTTTTCTTTTTTCTCGTTTTTCACTTTATTTTTTATTTTTTATTGTGTTTCTCTATCTCCCTCTCTCCTCCTCTTTTTTTTCTCTGTTCATCTTTCTTTTTCTTTTATTCATAATTTCAAGTTTTCAACGCATGCAGTAAATAGATAACTAAAATATTTTTAAAACAGCTATAAGTATTATATCGAATTTCAAATATTTCAATACTATTTAAACTAATTTATATTTTTTAAATTTGTCGTAATGTATAATATCGAATTTGAATTGTATTATAACTATTGTTTATATTTATACAATTTTAACACAACTTTAATAAAGATTTCCAGAGCTTACCTTTTGTTTTTGGTAAATCACCACCACCAAACTAAATAGTGTTTATGATTAAGATAATTTTGATACAATTTTTTTTAGGACTTCACCTAATATATATAACTAAAATATTTTTAATAAAAAATATTATAAGTATTAAATGTGAATTTTAAACATTTCAGTACTACTTAAATTAGCTTACGTTGTTGGAAATCTATTAGATTTATTCTACAATAATAATACAGTTTCGATAGAAACTTTGACACAATTTTGTAAAAATAAAGTAACACTTCAAAAGTGAAATTAATTAAATAAAATCCATTATTAATGTAAAAATTCCTTTAAATAATATCTTTTTATAATGATTATATATATACTAGAACGAACACAACAAGAAAAACTCAAGCTTCTAAAAAAATTATCGAAAAAATTGAAAATAAATTCAAAAATAGCGAAGTTACATAAAAATCAAAATCAAAATTTAAACTTATAAATGGAAAGCAGCAAATCAATTACTACTAATTAATATAACAAAGGAATGGAAAGCAGCGAATAAATTAATCAAAATATAATAAAGCAATGATTTTTAAAGTGCACTATTTTAAAATAGCTTTAGTGTTCATTTAGATAATAATGAAAATCGAATCAAATTATTAAGGCTAAAATCATATGCGGCCCCTTAAAGTTGTTTGTATAATTCATTTAGACATCTCAATTAGGAGTTGTACCTATTGAACAATTTTACCGTTCAAAACATGTACCCATTGAATACTTTTTGGTGACATGGCATCATAAGTGTAATACACATCCAAAAAGGCGAGTAAAGCCAAATATTTTTTTATCGACAAATCAAAACTGACATGTCAACATTAGCAAAATAATAATTTCTATAAAAAACAAAATTTTAAAAATCACTGGTAGTCATTTGGACTTCTCAACATACTCATTTGCCTTCGCCACTGTTAGAATTGTGCACAGATAATCAACAATTGAAAACCTCCATTGATGGAGCTGGAAGGAGCATGAAGAGACGATTGAGATTTGTAATTTGGGGAAATGAAAAATTAACTTCTATTCCACTTTCTTCCAGTATTTATACATGTATGTACAGAGAAGAAAAATATCTTCTAATCAAGGTGACAGCTAAGACGTAACAAGTAACTTTCTAACTAACTTCCTTTAACACAGTAAGCTAACTAACTTCTTTATAACAAAAGGCATATAATATAATTAATTGAAAGCTGAAATTTAACTAATCTCAACACCCCCCCCCCCTCAAGTTGGAAGGGAGATGCTTCCAGAAAACTTGCGCAAAATAGCCGAGTGCTTGGGCCCAATGAGGCTTTTGGTTAAAATATCAGCCAGTTGTTCATTAGTGGGGATGTGGTGAAGGGTCACAAGTCCTTCCTGTAGTTTGTCTCGAACAAAATGACAATCAACTTCTATGTGCTTGGTTCTCTCATGAAACACAGGATTCTTTGCAATGTGGATGGTTGCTTGACTGTCACAAAAGACTGATATAGGTTGGGAAGGTTCTTCACCTAATTCACAAAGCAATCGTTCAATCCAAACTAACTCTCCAACTACTTTTCTTACAGCCCTGTATTCTGCCTCTGCAGAGGAGAGTGAAACAGTGGTTTGTTTCTTCGATTTCCAACTTATAGGACAATTCCCCATGAGTACTATGTATCCACTTACTGATCTTCTGGAATCAGGGCATGCAGCCCAGTCTGAGTCGCAATAAGCAGTGATGACATACTTAGGATCTTTGGAAAGATAAATCCCCAGTGTGGGATTGTTCTTTAGATACCTCAATACATGAACAGCAGCCTTCAAGTGAGGCTCTCTGGGTGTTTGCAAGAACTGGCTAAGATGTTGTACACTAAATGCAATGTCCAATCTAGTATTTGTGAGGAAATTCAACTTTCCCACTAATTTCTTATAGTATGTTGGATCAGTTAACAGGGTTCCTTCATGAGACTTCAATTTGACCACAGCATCAAGAGGAGAAGTAGTTGGATTATAGTGTAAGCAATCAAACTCTTTGAGTAAATCTGTGGTAAACTTCTTTTATGTGATGATCACCCCATCCTGCTTGTAGAGAATCTCCAATCCCAGAAAATAGTGGAGCTTTTCTAGGTCCTTAATTTTGAACTGGTCATGTAAAAAGGACTTCAGGGATATAATTTCATCTAGGTCAGTTCCTGTCAATATTATATCATCAACATACACTGCTACAAAAACCTTAGCTGACTTATTCTTCTTGTGGAACAATGAGTAATCACTAGTAGAATGTGAGTATCCTCTTGAATACAATGCATTTGCTAACTTTTCATATTATTGCCTACTAGCTTGTTTTAACCCATATAAAACTTATTGAGCTTGCAAACAAGCCCTTTCTGATTAACTTGCAACCCCTGTGGAAGGTCCATATACACTTCTTCATTTAAATCTCCATGTAGGAATGCATTATTCACATCCAACTGATATAGATCCCAGCCTTTCTTAGCAGCTAAACTGATCAGAACCCTTACAGTAGTCATCTTTACTACTGGAGAGAATGTCTCATTGTAATCAATGCCAGCTTGTTGAGTGTATCCCTTGACTACCAGTCTAGCTTTAAATCTCTCCACTGTTCCATCAGCCTTATGTTTTATCTTGTAGACCCATTTGCATCCAATTGTTCTCTTCCTTGCAGGTAAGTGAACTAAACTCCAGGTATTGTTAGCATGCAAAGCTTCAAATTCAAGTGTCATTGTTGATTGCCAAACAGAGCTCATGGTTGCCTCCTCATATGAGTTTGGCTCACTATCATGAAAAATATTTCTAACTAGCTACTGATTTTCAGTGTCAAAACTAGTGAGTGAAACATGTTGATAATTGGTCATGTTAGGAGGATGGTAAGATCATGACTGAGGTTGCAGATTGGGCAGATTATAGTTGTATTCATTTAGGTATTTTGGTACAGAATGTGTCCTACTTGATCTTCTAGGTGCATGAGGTTGTTGTTGTGAACTGGAAGTAGTAGAAATAGTGATATGTGGAGATATTTCTGGGCTATCTGATGGAATGGTTTCATTAACTGACGTCTCAATGTGTGGTAAATTGGCATTAATAGTATTATCTGTGACAGTAATTGAGTTGTTTTCATTCAAGTCATGAGCATTATTCAAAGTACTGTTTGTGCAGTTCGACAATTTAGAATTAACATCAAGACATCTCAGTACAGAATTAAAACTAGAATCAGGAAAAGAGACGGCAAAAGGGAAGATATTTTCATGAAATAGTACATCTCTTGAAATGTGTATTTGCTTGGTGCTTAGATCTAAAACCTTGTAACCCTTTGTGTTAAATGGATATCCAATGAAAACATGTGGAGTGGATTGAGGTTCAAACTTATCCTTGTGGGTTTTGAGAGTGGTAGGGAAACAAAGGCAGCCAAAGGATCTTAGATGTGAATATGTGGGTGGTCTTTGGTACAATACTTCAAAAGGAGTTTTGTTTTGGATGGCTATGGAAGGTAGTCTGTTTACTAGGTAGGTTGCAGTTAAAATGCACTTCCCCCAATAGCTCATAGAAAGTTTAGACTGATACAACAGACTTCTGGCAGTTTCAAGGAGGTATTTGTGTTTTCTTTCCACTACACCATTTTGTTGTGGTGTGTATGGGCATGTTCTTTGGTGTATGATTCCTTTGGCTTGCAGAAAAATAGTTGTTTCTTTGTTGACAAATTCCAAACCATTATCAGTTCTTATGGTTTTAATGGTGGTGCTAAACTGATTTTCTATTAGGGATGTAAAAGCTTTTATGGTTTGCAGGGTGTTGCTTTTGCTACTGATTAGTTGAGTCCAAGTTGACCTGCTGTAATCATTCACTATTGTGATGAAATATTTGTATTTGTTATATGTTGGTGTGTGGTATGGTCCCAATAAGTCTATGTGGAGAAGATCAAAAATCTTTGTAGAAGAAGGTGTTGAGTTGGATGGAAAGGGCATTCTTGCTTGTCTTGCCATGGGGCAGACATTGCATAAAAATGGTAGTTTGGGTGAAAATTTAACAGGTATGGTGTGGATACCTCTCATCTTAACAAAAGGAACATGTCCTAGTCTAGTGTGCCACAAGTAATCTACATTATTTTCATGAGATGTACACAATGAAAAAGACTTGGTAGGTTCAGGACAATCAACATGAATAACAGAGGAATTTATATCACAACAAGCTGCTTTATTTCTTGGAATGACAGATGTTACAGAAGAGGGAATATGATGTAAAGCTTGCTTATTTGAAGCATGTAAAGAAGAGCAATTAGGGACTGAAGTAGATGAGGTGATAACAGTAGGACATCTTGAGTAGAAGAAGTAAAGGCCATTCCTTGCTCTACCAATCACCAGAGGGCTCTTCAGTGAAGGGCCCTGCAAGGAACATGAGATATCATTGAAACTTATTACACTCTTAAGGTCAGATGCCAAACAATGCACTGATATTAGATTAAATTTGAAAGTAGGAATAAACAGCACATTGTATAAAGTCACTGTTTAATTTAAACAGGCATCCCCAATTTCTGTCACTTTAACTCTATAGCCATTAGGTAATGTTATTAGGAAAGGGTAAGGCAAAGGTCTCATGTTTGTAAGTAAACTTTTATTGAAAGTCATATGGTTTGAGGCTCCAGAATCAATGATCCAGGATTCAGCAGTTAATTTGAAACAATTACATGAGAGGTTACCAACTTCAGTTATAGAAGAATGACATGCCAAGATACCTGCAAAGCTCGCAGCTCTACTCATGATGTTGTCCAAAGTGTCCTTGGTACTGCTAGATGGTCCCTGCACCTGAACGCTTTCAAGCAATCTCACCAGGTGATCATATTGGTCCTTGGTTAAGCTTTGAGTTCCCTGATCTTGGTCCATTGGTGCATCGCAGTTGGCGTGAGCAGATGCTGCTGATCCAGAATTCCTTCCCCTAGTGAACTTGAAGTTTTGGGGAAAACCATGCAACCTGTAACACTTTTCTTCTGTGTGTCCAGCTTTCTTACAATAATCACAGAACAAATTTTCTCTGTTGATGTCAGGAAAATGATAAGTCTGGTTGACATGTTGAGATTGATTTGGAGGACCTCTATACACATTTCCATTTGGCTCTTGTTCTGAGAGTAATTAGTTCTGAAATTTCCCCTTCCAGAATTAGCATTAAGTGACGTAGAAGCTCCAGAACTAGCACTAAGTGAGGTGGAGGCTAAACTCATGCGAGTGGATGATTTCACTTCTCGTTGTTTCTCCTCTTGTACTAAAATTGAGAAGGCTTGTGCCATAGTTGCAGTGGGTTCATCATAAGAATACTACCTCGCACTATAGTGTAGACCTCGTTAAGTCCCATCAGAAACTGGATAAGCTTTCGATCCTGCTCCGCTTTATGCATCTTGGTTTTACCACCACAAGTGCACAGGCATGTACATTGAGTATTGGGATCCAGAGTGTTAAGCTCTTCCCAGAGTCTTCGAAGCATGGAGTAGTACCCTGTAATGTCCAGATTTTCTTGGGCGAGATCATTGATCTCCTGTTGGAGTTGATAGAGTTTCGCGCCGTTGGTTTGGTCATACCTATCTTATAGTTCCTCCCACAATTCCTTTGCATTGTTGACGTACTACAGGCTGTCAGCTAAATCCTTTGATAGAGAATTGAGAATCCACGATGTGACCATGTCATCGCAACGTTCCCACTGAGCGAATGTGGGTGAATTTGCAGCTGGTTTCTGAATTTTGCCATTGATGAAACCTACTTTGTTTTTCACAGATATAGCGTGAAGAACACCGCGTCGCCAGGACCTGTAACCAGTCCCGTCGAAGAGCACCAAAATGATGGCAGATCCAGCACTTTTCGATGGATGCATGTACAGCGGTTGACTGGAATCGATGACTTGGTGAATTGGGATCTAAGGGATCTGAGGAGCATCTGCGTTTTGATCCATGAGATTGAAAGAGATTGATGAGGTTGAGCAAAATTTCTGAGACCTAAGTACAGAATCAAAGAAACGAGAAGAAGAGGAGCGAGAATTCATAAGTGAAATAAAGAAGAAAATGAATCAGTGAAACAGCAACAATGAAGAACTGAATGAGGTGATGCGGAAGACGAAGAAAAGATCAGTGCCTAAAGCTCTGATACCATGTTAGAATTGTGCACAGATAATCAACAATTGAAAACCTCTATTGATGGAGCTGGAAGTAGCATGAAGAGACGATTGAGATTTGTAATTTGGGGAAATGAAAAATTAACTTCTATTCCACTTTCTTCAAGTATTTATACATGTATGTACAGAGAAGAAAAATATCTTCTAATCAAGGTGATAGCTAAGACGTAACAAGTAACTTTCTAACTAACTTCCTTTAACACAGTAAGCTAACTAACTTCTTTATAACAAAAGGCATATAATATAATTAATTGAAAGCTGAAATTTAACTAATCTCAACTGCCACCATCGTCAACATACCCCTTTTCCATCTATTCCTGCATTCTTTTCTTTTTCCAGCATCATTCCGTCATCATCAATATCGTCGTTGTTTTCTTTATTGAAAAAGCATTAATTAAAGAAATAAAAATCAAATTGAGTCAAAAATAATTCCGGCGAAACTCCATTTTTCTAACAAGACTAATATGAATCTGAAATTATTTTCTTTGAAATCGTTAAAGAATTCAAATTATTTTCTTTGAAATCGTTATTTTCTTGATTGTTGTTCGAAAAAAAGAATGAGATTGAGAAAAATGTCTACTACAATATTGAATTAGAATAAAGGAGAGGAGGTAGGTGTACGATTATCGGAGTGTGCGGTTTTAGCCGGAGGCCGCTGTGTGTGTTTCGGGAAAGAAGAAAATGAGGAAGAATGGAAGTCGGGGGTGGGTCGGTGCCTAGTATGTTTTGGCGAAGAAGAAGAAGCGGAGAAAAGTATCTCTTTTTCTTGTTTTGGCTGAAAACAAATTTTTATTTTATTTTATTTTTAATATATATTCTAATTATTATTATGGGCCCAATGCCACATGTCCTTTTCTGATTAGTTACTATGCCACATCACCGAGAAGGTATAACACACAATTTCTATTTTTAGTTGATTGTCAAAAAATGTTTAATAGGTAATTTTTTTTACTAATAAAAGTGTTCAATTGAAATAAGTCTAAGATGAGGTGTCCATGTGAAATCTACGGACAACTTTAGTGGTTACAGATGACTTAAGCCAATCATATATATATATATAAAGGAGGATCATAGAGGAGGTGATGTGGCTCCTCTCTATGACCTCCATTCCTATTTATCTATTCTCTTCTATTTTTGGACTTTTTATGTTTGTTTTTTTATTTATCTTATTTCTAATTGCATTAATCAATTAATGAAGAAACAAAATTGAAAATTTCTAATGGAGCAGTTAGTGAGGAAACACTATCTGTTAGAGACATCTATTAGAATTAAAACACACTTAAATCAAATAAATGGGAGATGAAAAGACCATCCTTTCATACACCTTCTCCTCTTCTTCTAACTGTTTGACAGGTTATTAAAAGTACCAAAATAGGTTTTGGTCTTATATTTCAACTCATATAGTATACGTACTAAGATACATAGCAAAGGTATCTTCTTCTTTTATCTTCTTATAATTTGGCCTCTACATTGACTAATTCGTTGTGTCATAATTGTTTCATGTTGTTTTACTTTACATTTTTTTCAAGATTATCCTTTTTTATACATGGTTAACTTTTTAGAGAATTTCTCTATGTAGTTGAGATCCTTCTCTTTTTTCTCTCCCAGTAGTACTTTTGGACGTATATGTTGCATTTGGTGAGTGTGAATGATGGGTGAGGATTGAGGACTGAGGAGGAGAGGTAAGAAAGGAAATACAATTATAAGGAAAATAAAAGGATAGAAAATTGAATGATAGATTTATGCATGTATCCATATGTATAAACACTCTCACTTTCAATCCAAAAGTTGATAGTTGAGTCACAACAGAGCAAAAAGGATGGGTACTACTAGGGAGAAGTAAAAAAATATTAGATCATAATTGACAATATTTCTTATTTATTCTTTATATTTGTGTGCATATTTCTCATAAACATCATCTCATATGGTAAATCTAGCACTTCTATTTTCTTGCTATCACGTATTTATACGTTTAAATAGTTTCTGCATTATAGAGTATCTATAATTAAGTAGTGTCTTCTATTTGATTTATAAAGGAAGTCGAGTCCTTTATGATCCACAAGTATGTACCTAAATAGTGTAGAGAAGTTGACTCCTATTCTTGGTCCTTAAACAATTACATAACCATTTTTACCAGAAAAATTGTTATCATTTTAATATATTTTTCTTATTCAAGTTCAAATATATGTTAATCAAGTGAGTTACGTTATTGTGTAACTGTAATATTTGTCACATTGTCAAGCAGATTTATATGAGAAATAATTAAAGAATCATGAACATATATGTACTTTCGTTTTTCATTGTAATGAGTATTAAAATCCGTGCTGCAATCTAATACATATATCTGTGTTGATAGTTTATTGTTTCTATATTCACTATGAATTAAATTTATTGAAAATTTGTATGTGATATATTTACTCGGCGAAATGGTCCAATGGACCCTTGTACTTGTATGAGTTTGTATTCTAAACCCTTCTACTTAATCATTTGCCTATTACACTCTTAAACTCAATTAAAATAAAATTTTTGAACACCTCCAGCCAGGTGTGTAGTTCACTCTCCCTAACATAAATGACATGTCATATCCACATCATATATGTTAATGCCATGTCATAATTATTTTTAAATTATTAACTAAAAAATACTTAAATAAAAGATAAAAATAATAAGTTTTATGTTTTAAAATAAACAAAATAGTTATTTCTCTCACTTTTCCTCCACCTCCCTCAACCCACAACCACCAAAATTTTCCTCCACCTCCCTCTACCAACAACCACCAAACGCAGAGACAAAAATGAAACCCAAAATTGATCTCTCAAATTATCTAGTGAGACATAGCTTATTATCCGAATTGAATCACTTTCCTTCTTCCTTTAACTTCAATTTCAATTGATAATTTGGGCAAGCTACTACAGATCGAGTAAATACAACATACAAAAATCAAATTTTTTTTCATTGATAGTTTTCGCCTAAAATGCTTAAGCTACACAAATTCCACTTCTACAACATAATTGAACACTCTTAAATTGTTATGGTGCTATATAGACTAACAAAACAATCTCCCTTCTCTTAATTTTTTTCCTCTTTGAAAAATGAGTATGAAGCTCAGAAAGCACAAGTCAAACCCAAATCTCAAAACTAATATGAGCAAACAACGTTTTCTTAATATTGGATTTTATGGTTGATTTTTAAGGCTCGAACAATAAGACCACGCACAATCAAACCCAGATCTCAATATAGAAAAAAGAAATTTATGGATAGAATGGGAGAAGCAAGCCATCGGAGCAAAATCGCCACCAAAGCAAAATTATCACATAACCACCATAGAAGACCCATAACCATCGGAGCAAAATCAGCCTTCTTGTTCAACATCTGAAACTCTCATTGACTTTGCTATAACTCACCAAAACACCTAATCATTAACGGAGGTTCAATGGACAGAATGGGTAGAGATGCAAATGAAAACGCCGACGTCGCAAGAGCCTCCAAGATCTGTGTCATTTTCTCAAAACATCGCGAGCAAAGGGAGAAGAAAAGGGAGGGGTTGGGAACCTTAATTTGTTTTTTCCTTTTTATTATTTATTTATTTTTAAAGCAAATTAATTGCTTTTACTCGCCTTTTTATGTGTGATACCACGCACTATAATTGAGTCAGCAAAATAAATGTCACATAAGCTTGATCAATGATCAAAGGGCTTAAAAATCTCATTTTAATTGAATTTAAGGATTCAGTTGGCAAAAGATTAAGTAGAAGGGTCTACAATACAAACTCATACAAATACAAGGATCCATCAGACCATTTCGCCTATTTAGTCGGACAAAGTGTGGTAATAGAAATGGTAGAGTTGCCACATTTTTATGGACAATTATCTTAATTATTTATCAATTTTTTTCTCTCTTTGTTTTTGTTGACTTTTCTTTTATTTTAAAAAGTAATCTCTGTTAGCTAGCTCACACAGGTTCATCTTCATAAATTCTGCTCTGATTAGTATTTATAATAATATTCAAATCTTCCATTGTCATAACTCTCAATTATTTAATAATTAATATACAAATTTATGGCATTTTAAAAGTACCACAAAAAGGTCATTCCATTGGGCATAAATTCGAAAACAAGAACTCTTTCTCGGTCATTAAATAAAATCTCAATGGGGCAACTATGTTACTCATTAAATAAAATCTCAATGGGGCAACTATATGTAACATGGAAAGTTATGCTTCGTCGATAAATTCTTTTTTATTTGCTTACTTACTCGAACTTATAACCCTTTTCGCAATAAGACGACCATTGAGGTTACTTTATAGACTCCTTCATAACCTCGCCTAGTTTGAATTTCAATTCTAAAGTGAGTTGGTCATTTTTTTAATAACAATAAAAATGCTTATATACTTATTAAGAATAATTTTTGAAAATAACTGAGTAAATTCGTAGGTGCAATTATTGATACAATATTTTGATTATTTTGGGAAAGAAGTAATAGTTATTGATTTTAGAGGAATTGAATAATTAAACAAGGGTAAAGAAATGCAAATAAGTGTAAAATGAAGGATAATCGAAAATAATATAAAGATAAATACAAAAAAGAATGAGATTACACTCGAAAAGATTATTGAAGTAAAAAAACAATGTGAAAAAAAAGATACCCACTAAGAAGGGTAGATAATCAAGAAACATAACAAAAAGGAAAACAGAAAATTTTAAAATATCATTAATGCAACAAAAGATATTATTTTCATGGTAATGACTAATGAGAATATGATCAAGCAAAAATATTTTTAAAAAAAAATTAAATTTCTAAATTTTATAACTTGGAAATCTTAAGAAAAATAATCACGATGAAAGGGTTAAAATTGTACGCCTAGTTGTTAAATATAAGAAAAATAAGCATAAAAACAAACATAAATAGTACTCCCAACTACCTTAAATATACAAGCTTCGATAAATTAAAGTAATTAATAGTTCGAAAATTCTTTGAGAAAGAGTTTCTCAACATGCTCAGTCAGAGGGAGAGAATAAAAGTAAAATTAATCGAAAGTAAACCAGAATTAAACTTGGAAGGGCAAAAGAAATATGACGCAAACTGTCATTTACTAGATTCGCTTGGAACTTTGCAAAATACAGATTCACAGTATCTTATCAAACCAAATATAAGGAACAATAACTTAAAACCACACTTAGCAGTATGGAACTTCTCACCTAAACCATAGGCCTAATTCAGAGCTATCAAACTAATAACGGGCACCACCGCCATATCCACCACCACCGTAACCTCCTCCGCCACCACCTTCACGTCGGCCACCTCCATAGCCGCCACCACCACCTCCTTCACGTCTGCCACCTCCATAGCCGCCACCGCCGCCGCCTCCGTAGCCGCCACCTCCTCCGTAACCGCCGCCACCACCTTCACGGCGTCTGCCACCACCGAAACCGCCACCACCACCACCACCACCACTTCCACGGGCCTGGGCTTCGTTAACAGTGATGTTACGGCCATCAAGCTCCGAACCGTTCATCCCTGAGATTGCTTCCTTCATGGATTTTTCATCCTTGAAGGTAACAAAGCCAAATCCTCTAGATCTACCAGTTTCTCGGTCGTTAATGATCTGGAAAAAAAAATCAAAAACAATTCAGATCTAATAGATCTACAAGGTGAAAAACAAAAATAGTAAAACTGAAACTTAAAACCGATCTATCTTTCTTCATCTCTTGACAAAAAGAGAAGGAAGACGGAACATACCGTCTCAAGGAATGGTATAACAGTATAAACAGAGTAACAGTAACAGATGAATCAAGTAAACCAGAGATAGAGATAGTAATCAGTAACAGAAGGTCATCAACGAAACCAAAAAATGGGCTCGGATCTGATTTCTGCTCTGCGACAAACGGACCTTCGAGTCGACTACTTCGCCATAGGTAGAGAAAGCATCGCTAAGTGTTCGATCGGTGGTGGCCCATGCGAGCCCACCGACGAAGCAACTGTACTCAACTTCGGCAGCCATTAAACTAAACTGAGAAACTAGAGAAGAAAAACCCTAATGAAAATATCAGAAATGAGAGATGCGGTGAAAGTTAAGCAGAAAAGCCCATATTTTATAGGCGGCAGAGGATATGGTGTCCATGGGCTTTTAAGTAATTGGGCTTAGGGTCTAAGATATTTTGCCAAAGAAAATGTCCAAATCATCCCTAAGTCATCACTTTTCTTTGACTAATATAAAAATAATTTGATCATTGATTAGAGTTATACAGACTTTAATTATAATAAAAACTTTATGAATAAGCCATAAAATAAGCCACTCCTTATCTTTGACTAAGGAAGATGTGATCGTTGACTAGAGTTATGCAGATTTTAATAATAAAAATAATTATAAGAATTAAGGCATAAAATAAGTTAATGTGGTGTTTTTCTATGTTAAATATTACTCCTATTTATTTACTTTTCAATTTTTTCAAATTATCTTTTATATTTTAAATCTAAATAGTCTTCAGAAAATGAGGAATTCATATTTTGGCTATTTCTTCATTATTACTTTTACTTGGCGAGCAGACGTGTACAATACGTATTAATAGACTAATTAAAAATAGGGATAAGGGTCTGAAAAATACCTCAACTTTGGTCGGATTTGTTGTTGCGATATTAAACTTTCATGAGCACCTATTACCTCCCCAGACTATTTAATACCATATTTTAAACATATATATTTGCCCACGTGGACATAAAAAATAATGCAAAATTATAAATAGTAATGTGTCCACGTGGGCACATATATACCTTTAAAATATACTATTAAATAATTCAGGGGGTAAAAAATACGGTATTAAATAGTCTAAGGAGGTAATAGGTCCTCACGAAAATTAGTATCGCAATAGCAAATTCGACCAAAGTTGGGATATTTTTCAGACATTTATCCCTTAAAAATATAAAAATTAAGGTGAGAATGTTAATAAGATCAGATGTAATCATAATCAAGTGGGATAAAGAAATATTAACACCTTATCTTCTAATAAAATACATCTAGATTCACCTTCTTCATTTTTCATTTAATAATGATATGAATGGTATTGATTCTTATAAACAATAAATATTTTGAGGGGGGGAAAAGAAGAATAATATCAAATTATGGGTAAAAACATGCTCAAATTACGTATAGTTAAAAATGACAAAATGAAGGACTTTCATAAAAGAAAATGAATTAGGCGTCTGAATCTAAAATTTAATTCAGTATCATACTTATTGATAAAATAAATATTACTTTCAAATTTTTAGTTTGAGTTTTTACCATTTTGAAATTTCAAAGTCAAACCAATATTCACGTACGAGTCAAAATATATTGAAGAATCCTTTTTCAAATTAATTAAATTAAAAATATATATAGGTTAATTATTACGATTATTTTTCTATAAAAATATATCATACTATTAAATAACTCAAATAAGGAAAAACAATTAATGCACAATATTTAGTAGGATTTAAAAATGGAAAAAATTACTTGAATTGGTACCTTTTAATAAATAATTATTGATTTTAGCGATACTTTTTATTTATTACCATTTATAGCAATACATAGCAAAATCTGCAATATATATTAAAAGTGAATTATGCATGCAATATATGTATTATAACTATTTTTTATATATATTATGCTTGTTTAGTAAGAAATTAATACTTTGTATTATAAGTGAATTAAAATGTGTGATAAATGTATATCCATCAATAAAACTTGTATTATATGTGAATAATAAATTGCTCTTTGTAATATGTGTTGACACCCAATTTTGGGTTTTCACAATATATATTAATCATCGAGTTTCTTCAATTTCGAACGATTTGAAATAATTAGTTTTATAACATTCAAAATATTTTTCAAGTTATTTTAAAGTAATTTTAGTCGCTTTTATAATTTTTAAGCAATATATATTTTTTATATAATTTTGTATATAATTAGTATATTTTATAAATATTTCGAAAATCATCTCAAAAAGATTTTAATTTTAGTAAGTATTTTATTAAATTAGTTTAGTTTAAAATTATGATTGTAATTTTGAATCATTAGTTTACAATTAAGTTAATTATTTTATTTCGTTAAGATTAAGAAGCTCTTTAACTAATTAATATTAATTCGTCTTATTTAAGATTTAGCTGAATTTGTTAATTTAACTCAATTTGGCTATTTCTTAAACTCCAAGATCTGACCCATCTTTGACCTCACCTTAAACCCATTTAGAAACCAAAGTTGGGCCATTCATTCAAAATTCCAGCAGCCCACTTCTTCAGCTTTCCAGTTCCAGCAGCCCAATCCCTATTATCCTCCAGACCTATCCAAATCCCAACCCACTCTTTCTATTCCCAATTCCCCTAACTCGACCCAATTCATTTACTCCTAAAAGAGACCAAGCAACGTGACTAACAACACAGTAGCAGCTCACTACAACGTTCACAACAAACAAGGCAGCATGTACAATTTCCAGAAACAACAACGGCGTCTTCACGCCAATAGACGAAAAACAGCAAGCAGGTTCACGGTGTGAGCAAGATGTGTGCTCAGTACCAATTTTGTTGTCGTCTTCTTTGCATCCCTCACCGATAGTACTGTTTCAGCCGTGATTTTCAGCAAAAAACATCTGATATAGCAGCGCAGGACCGTCCTTGGGGTTGTGAGATCGCTCCACGTCGCGCCCAAGGACATTGGAACCGATCTGAGGCGTCCATCTCCCCTTTCATCTATCGGAATTGGTTGAAATTCCAGTAAAAGGGTGTTTCCCCTGAATTGTGAAAGGATTGGGAGTTTGAATTTCGAATTGGTCCCTTGTCTTATTCAGTTTTCACTGTTTCCCCCAAAAGATTGGAACCCTAATTTTACCTATAAATATTCTCTTCCTCTTCATTGAAAAAGGCTGGATTTTTCTAGGAACAATCACTTTTATACTCAAGAAATTTTAGACGTTTTTCTCTAATCCTAAGTTGTCAGAAAAATTTTGTTCGAGTTTGGTATGCTTTACTTGGTTGGCTGCACGAGATTAAACTCGTGTTTGAGGTCATGGAAGCTTGTTGCTCCTCTGCTCGTTGTTCCTCGTTTGCTGTCGCGGAAAAGGTGAATCTTCTTTTAAATTTTAACTCATTTTGGATTGATGTTTTTTTTTTTGTGAACTGAAGTGGCCTGCTGATTCTTCTTCTTCGTCCTCGATTGTTTCTGTCCTTCGTGATTTGTTGTTGATGGTTTAATGAAAGTTTGTTGTTTGGTTTTAAATGGGGTGTTTTAGTTGATTAGTGTATGAAGTGTATCCTTCATGTGAGTTAATCATCTTTAAACATCTATGAAAATTGTGAGTAGAACCATGAGTTTATTGATTTTGTCTTATGAGGTTCAAATGCCATTTGTTTGCTGCTGGATTTGTTAGTGAAGTATTTCGAGAGTTGTCATGTTTGATCTTTAGAACTGGTTATTTGAGGTTTTGATCTAAATAGGTATGTGTGGTCAACGTGTATTTTGAAACTGTTTTCTACCCTAAAAATTGCTACTCTTCTCGTTTATTTTCCAAGTTTTCATGGCTGCATTTTGTTTAGTTTTCAAACTATTTTATTCGTCTTAGTCTATTATAATTTTTTGTGACTATGCATTATTGCTTCGCACTCGACGTCTTATTCTTCATTCTCTCATCTTAAGTAGGATGAATGAACTAATATGCCAAATATTTGGAGTTCAAGTGTTGTGTTTGCGACTGTTTGAAGTTCATATGTTGCATTTTCTGCTCGTTTAAATGATTTTATGGTTCCAAGATGATTTTAAGTTTGGTTTCTATCATGAATATGTCACTGAATCAGTTCATTTTGGTTACATGTTGCTCTGTCTTCGAGTATTTTTTTATTTTTTTATTCTTTTTTGGTTTGTTTTGTTAGTATTGTTGTTCATATGGAAATGGAATATCAAACTAGTTAATGGGGGTGATTGTCTGTTACATTATTCATCGTAGGTACTTTGGTTTGTTTTCCTCTATCTGTTGAATCTTCATAATCAGCTTTAGTCTAGATTTTCCTTGCTTTCGACATGATCATAATAGGCTGTCCAAATGACTTTCTTGTCTAAGTTTCGATTCAAGGGTCTTGTACTTGTTTTCACCCTGGTCTTCTCTATGTTTTTAGCTCATTTATGTTATATCCCTGTATGTTTCCATAGCACTTATAAATGAGTTAATTTTATAGGATTGGTTTGATGTATTTTTGCTTCCCTAAAATGATTTGGGTGCTTTAAATTTTAAATTCTAGTGACTAAGTTTTAAGGCTAATCATATTTCTTTGAGATTTGCATCAGTTAGCTATTATTCCTCTGTTTTGGGTGGAAGTTTAAGTGACAACAACTCTTTCTCATGCCTATTGTTTTGCTCATGGTCAAATGCTTAAGATTGTTCTATTAACACATGGATTTATTATTATCTTTGCTTAGCTTTGTGCCGCATCTTAAGCCTAATGACATATATTCCTACAATTCACTATATTTTTTATTAATAGTTGCCTCCTTATCATTTGTCTTCATCTAGATAGTTAGGCATAAACCCATTACTCATTTGGTCATTGCTAGTCTAATTGCCTATCTGTAATCATCTTTCTAGTGTTTTATCTTATCATATGGATGTTAGTTTAATTCTAGGAGAAAGGATTTTTTTTTTGAACATTGTATAAGCTCCTTTGTCACCTTTGCATAACATCGGTACAGTGAACTATTCATATGCATCTCTTCGCCTCATTTCTATTTTATGTGTCTTGTTTGTATTATATGGATTTGAAGCATGCCCCAATTGCTAATTTCTTGTTTTGTTCTTTTCTATGCATGAACTGGATTCCCCTCGAGTCCTTGGAGACTCATTTTCCCTACATTTCGTTGATTGGGCCTTAGAGGTCCAATTTTATGTTCTATTGAGTCGATCGAGTTTTGGAGTTGACATATAGGTTGAAGGCGTTAAATAGGAGCTAGAAAAGTGAATTTCCATATCCAAAGGAGGTTTAAAGGCTAGTTGTATACATGCAGTATACATTTTGTATACATGATATACGGCCCCCAAAAAATACAGTGATACATGTTCAAGGACGAAATACAGGTCAAAAGTTGATATACAGGA